GGTGATGATTCCCTCCCATCTAAGCCATGATATCCAATAAGTCATGTCTTACAGGCCCATCATAGACATTGCCTGTAAGGTAAACACTACAGAATTTGAGATATAACTTCATATAAGTAAACAGAACCTAATATAAAAATGCCAGAGTTGTAGTGACGCTCTCTAAACAGAATAACTCTAACCAAATAATTACTTGAAACAAAGTAAATGTTTGAAAATCAATGATGATTACCTTGATAGAAGGAATAGGCCTACCAGGATTATTAGCCCTAACTCAATTGCAATGCTAAGTGCCCAGAGTTCCCAGTCTAGTGGCACAGTGCTTGCAAAAGTGCCAAGGAACTCCACAATAATAACTTGAAAAACAACAGTAGACACCATGACACCAACGAATATCCAACTGCTCAACATGCCATGAAACACGTTTATCTTGTGAATGTCCCGACTGTTTACTTCATTAAAGACCTACACATACATAATTATAAAAAAAACTGTTATAATGCACAAATAAATGAAAAAGTATGTTGCCATTTTCAATTACCTGACAGAAGACAAAGGTGTTGAAGATGAAAGTAATGAGGATTTCAGTTGAGTCCAAATTGAGAATGGATTTTCCGGCGAAATTCAAAGACGAAAAGGACAGCCATTTGGTAAATACTTTGGCCAATAATATTTCGCCACATGGTCTTTGTAATAAAACTTTCGGTTCGTTTAACAGGTGGTCTGTTCATGAGTCCATCATTTGGTGGTTCAGTGGTTAGGGCCAATGCACCTAAAGTGTCCATGATTAGATTCACCCATAGCAACTGCACAGCAGTAAGGGGTGCAGACCCTGAAAAATATTCATATCCATGCAACTATGTAAGCACAGAACATGTGAGAAAGCAAAGAGTGAATAATAAAGAAGGCGATTGAACAAACCTGTAATGCAGGCTGAAACAAAATTAATCATTAGAGCAACGATGTTGACAGTTAACTGAAACTGAACAAACTTCTGAATGTTTATGTAAACTGCACGTCCCCATTTTGCTACTTTTACGATTGTTGCAAAATCATCGTTCAACACGATTACATCAGCTTGTTCTTTTGCAACCCTACAGATGAATATGAGGATTGTTTTTTCATTAACTTAAGTTTTTTATACTAAATTGACATGAATATGAGGCACAAACCAACCTCTGTTCCTGCTATACCCATGGCGAATCCGATATCTGATTCATATAAAGCTGGAGCATCATTTGTCCCATCACCTGTGACTGCAACAACTTCAGACAGACCCCTCAAATGCTCTACAAGCTTTAACTTGTCTGTTGGTGATGATCTAGCCATTACCTGTAATGTATTTAAGGATTGTAAGTCATTACTTGTCTTGGAGAACTAACCACCTATTCTCCTGAGTTTCAAAATAAAGGAAAAGAAAAAAAAAAGTTACATTTTGATCTAGCCATCACCACGTTTTTTTGTTTGTACCTGAATTCTCAGTGCTAGTTCACGCTTTTCTACATCTGATTTAGCTCGAAACACTGGCCCTTCAATGGCTAACCCACCTTCAGTCAGTATACCGCATTCCTTGGCAATGACTCGAGCTGTGTTAATATTATCACCCGTAACCATACGCACAGTAATCCCGACTGCTAAACAAATCTCCACCGTTTCCTTAACCCCTGGCCTAAACGGATCCTTAATACCAACAACCGCAATCAACGTATACCCACAATCAGGGTAAACTCAAAAATCGGGGATTGAGAAAAAAGTTATGCATAGTAAAGACTGAATAGTATCTGAAAAAATCAAGAATCGGCTTATAATTACCTTCAAGTTCTTCAATGTGCTTGACAATTCGCGCTTTAGCCATCGCTGATAATTTGAAATTAGGGTTTCGGCAGAGCCCTCTCAATCCGGTGTGGTCGTGAGGTGTGTGAGTTTGTAATCACAGTAAACGGGGACATACCTCGCTGTAGGGATCTCGAATACACGGGTAATTTGAAATTATGGTTTCCCATTTCATTCTGATGGCGATCGCGAGAGAGAGAAAGAGAGGCGAGAGAGATCACTGCATCTTTGGTGGGGGAAGTCGGCAGCCGTGGACCTTCGGTGGGAGACGTTGGTGGAGATGACTGCATCTTTGGTGGAGACGATGAGAATTGGTTTGATGGTGGCTGTGTTTAGGAGATTAGGGTAAGATCAGTGTGTAGTGTAATAGGTAGTATATGATCCGTGTAGTGTAATACGTATAAGATCGGTTATATATAGGTTATATGCTTAATATTATTGTACATAAGATAATATATATTGTACCTCTTAATTTTCAAGAAATGGACAAATCAGGTCTAACATTATATCCTTAATAATATAGTAAAGATAAATATATATATATATATATATATATATATATATAATTGCCGTCTTACAAATAACATGACTCACGATTTGAAATAGCTTGAGGCTAAACATTGCCTCCAAATCAAGTCTAACATTATTTAGAACCTTTAATAAATCTAACATAAACATTTTTGGTAACCTTAAGTCTCATGTCATCCTTTCAAAAACTTGTCAAATATCTTGCAGCTCAACACAGCAAAAAGTTGATAGTAAAAGGGTATGTTATGTAAATTGCAACAAAAGAAAAGAAAGTGGAGGATATTACTGATTTCAACCATACGTCCATAGAAGGTCCCCCGAAAACCTCTCATTCCTCAAACGCCTCCCACAACAACACGAGTCCTCACTTTAAGCAAGCTTCCTCCAGTTCTCTCTGTATCACTGAAAAATATGAAGCAGCTTTTCAATGCTCCGTTTGCATTCATCCATTTCCCACTTCACTCTCCATCTCTCTCCCTCCAGTTTTTTCCACAAATTTCAATTGCAAGAGACCGAAATAAGATTAGCATCGTCAACAACGCACAAACTTTTCATCATTTAGGTGACTTACCCGGTTAATTCGGATCGTTGATGTATTTTGTATATGAGATAAGTTCTTAGTGCGTGTTTTGGTCTTTGATTGTGTGAGCGTCGACTTGTGTTGATTTCTAAGAATTAATTCGCTGGAAGTTCTGGATCTGATTTTGTTTAATCTAGCTATACTGTACTACGGACAGTGAATGTTGAATGATTAGTTTTCTCGATTTTTTGCGTAACGTTTTTGTGTAGATTTGGTGTTCGTTTAGTGGAATCAATTGTGTTTTGGTGGTGAATCGTGTAGGGATATTGAAGAGATAGAGAGAAGGTGAGACTAGAATAAGCATCAACAGGGAAGAAGACGAGAAGTGCAATGGCGTCGTCGTCGTCGACGCAATCCACTGAAACAGGCGGCTCGCCGGCGCCGGCGTTAATGAGGCGACCTTCTCGCAGCGTTGCCGCGACGGTGACTACGGAGGTTTTTGACAGCGAGGTCGTTCCTTCGTCCCTGCAACAAATTGCTCCGATCCTCCGTGTCGCCAACGAAACTGAGCACGAACGACCTCGCGTTGCTTATCTCTGTATGTCTTTTCTCTCATCCTTAAACTCAAATTCACCATTGTTATGAACTTCCATGGATTGTTTCATCTTAAATTCGTCAAATAATTTTGATTCCACTGTGCCATTAGTTCTGAACTTCTGATTACTGTTGCTTACAAATCATAACAATTAACTACTCGTGATTTTATTTTTCTATGAAAAGGTCGTTCATATGCATTTGAGAAAGCTGATAGGTTGGATCATAGCTCTAGTGGTCGAGGTGTTCGACAGTTCAAGACGACACTCCTTCAACGTTTGGAACGGGTACCCATCTTTCTAGTTTAAATCATTTCTTTGTAATATAAGTATGTTATATTAATATTTTTGACAATAAAATAAAAATACATTTAATATAAACTATAAATACTCTTCGAACAAATATAATGGGAATTTAAAAAAAAAAAAAAAAAAAAACAGCAATTATGTTTTACTTAGTTTTGAAACGTCAAAATAATTAATACCAATTTATGCACATAATTACTACCAATTTTGACACAACTAATTTGACTATATTATTATTATTAAAATTTGACTATATTATTATTATTAAAAATCAAAATATATAAACTACTCATATTTAAGATATACAAAATGATATACTTAAGTTGGTCGATTTCTTTCTAGCTATATTTTCTTTTTCTTTTCTAAAAACCTACAAATTATAAATTAAAATATTCCACAAAATATAAAAACTTATACTATAGAAAGAAAACACACGAATCTTGATTCGAACTATACTAAGTTACTAACATATTAAAACTACAAAAAAGTCTACATAAATCACCATCGTCGGTGGTAATAATAACAAAGTAAAAAAGAAGCGATATACATACAACATTTCCATTAAAATATTATATTTAATAGGATGCTTAAATTCTTTGATATATCGATCTTGATATTAAGACTCTATAAACAAAAAATGATCATGATCATATTGGTATCGCTTTTGAAGCAAGATTTATACTTAAATTTTAGTATCCCAACTATAATCGTAATATATAACCCTAATCCAATCCTTCATCATTAGTCTTTATACTATTTTAGTTTTCTAAATTATAAGAAATATGTCATTTATGCTAAAAGCAACTCATGCATAGTATTAAAAAGTTGTCTGTATATCTTAAAATTGAGCCAAAAAATTTCATACATTCAACTTGAAATCTGTATATCTTAAAATTGAGCCAAAAAATTTCATACATTCAACTTGAAATCGAGTATTGCATATTGTAGGAAACTTTAAGAGCATCACAACTTCATCCATACATTCACCTCGATTTAGGCAAACCATCACAACTACATGATAGTTCCTTTGTGATTTCATGCTTTTAATTGTACCCGATCATAATGATCTTGTTATTTTCTGCTTAACATGTTTTCTTTATAATTGTTGCAGTGTGCATTTATAGGAATTATAATTACCACTTAAATAGTTAATTTTGATTCTGCCATTGATGTTTTAATCAACATCAAGTTATATTAAGTACTACGCAAACAAGACCTGGCGAGAAAACTTGAAAACTAGTTCATTTTCGTATGATCTTCTGATCCTTGTCACTAATCATGGTCTGATGTTTCCATCACAATCTTGTAAAACATAAAACGATCTAGGTTAAATCTCGATCTTGTAAAACATAAACCATAGTCATTATCCAAGCCTTTTTTTTGTAAAACATAAACCATAGTCGATCTTGTAAATTATAAAACATAAAACTAAGGCCCGCAACAACATGCCCCTTCCCTCCGCTCCAAGCTACGACCCAATGCGTTTGTCCCAACCTTTAGCTGATATTGAAGAATATGATTCTCTCAGCCCTAAAAACGTGGTCTAAGTGTTTCAAACTATGAGCCTTTGACCATAATGTTCACACTTTATGGTATATAGACACGATGGCGAATTCCCATTACATTATTGATATAGATATGTTCTACAAACCCTAGTGTGAGAGTTCTGTGTGTAATATTTTTGTTGGAAATAATCAAAATATTATAATATAAGGTCGGGTAGCGCTAACATTCAACTCCCTTCCAAAACTTTCATCTTAACAACACATTTTACACCATTACAAATTTAAACTTGACTAATATTCGTCAATTTACAAAATATAATCAAGTTCCCTTTGAATTTAACATGTATAAATAGAGGATCACAACTTACAAGACTTGGAATGTTAATGATATGATCTTTCTGATCTTAGTCCCATAACTGATTATAAAGCTATATCATAAGTTCGTCCATGTCCTATCGGGCACCCCGGTTAGTTGATATAGCCACATGATTTGTGGGCATTACCATAGGTGTGGGTATCTTAGGTGTTGTTTGTTTTGTCGAAGCGAAAATATATGAAGTCTGTGAACCACCTCTGCAACCCTCTGTAACAGAAGAGGTGGACCAAACGGCTGCAACATGTAATAAAACGTTTGTTTGTTTTTTAACGTCTGCAGACTGTTGCAATAAGTTAAAATAAGGGGTGAAGAAGTTTGAAGCAGATGGTCTAGTGTTATGCACGCAACACACGCGCATCGGTTTTTAAGTTAGAAGTCTTCTGAAAAACAAACAACTGCGAATGACCAAGTGTTGCGCGTGTGCTGTGCGGAGTAACAATAAGTGGTAAGAAGTGGTTTTTTAGAAAAAACAAACAACACCTTAGTTTATGATACAATTTTGGTTTTTTAGAAAAAACAAACAACACCTTAGTTTATGATATTTTCGGGTTAAAATAGTCTTTGGATTTTACATTATCTAAAACCCAATCAATCTCCTCTAAATAATAACTTGATTTTTTAATAATTATAATTTGTAACATCATCATTAACAAATTTATATCTACCAAATGTTACATAAATATAATCATCACCATACAATGTTTAAATTATTTGACAGCTCAATGTACTGTCGACTTGGAGATTGCATATTGAAATGCTAGATAGACTCAATTCTTGTAATTTTAGTTTTTAATTATTAGGTATATTAGGATAATATTATGGATTAGGATATCATCATATTTTTTTATAATATTAAAAGAAAACATACTTTTAAAATCATATAAATATTATGGATCAGGATACCACCAATCATCATCGTTCATCAAATTAATCAAAGCTCTAAATCATGTATATGTTTTATTTTTCTTTTGTTCCCAGGTATTTTATCCATCCGTCTATTTCTCATAGACCTAGAAAACATATCGTGTTGTGTCAAGGCGAAACATTAAACAGGTTGAGATATATTGACCCTAACTTAGGGGTGAACATTTGGACCTTCGGACTGGACCAGATCGTGAACTGGATATGGACCGAACCTAGTAGCCTCAATAGTTCTGGTCCAAGGTCCACCAATTTCTATAAAACTTGTCCGGTCTAAGAGTCGGTCGGGTTCGACTCGGTTCGATTCGGTCCAAATGCTCACCTCTACGTCTAAGAATCGGGACTTAGACTTGGACATGGTAAGCCTCAACAGGTTCGGTCCAAGGTCTACCAATTTCTACAAAACTGTTCTGGTCCAAGAGTCGG